CAGACTGGGAACACGGAACTGTGATATACAGTGCTATTCAAATCACACTCGCTTTCCTCTAAGGAGCTTGTTTGTTATGGAGACTTGAGAGTTATAAATAGGACCACAGAAAGTGGGCTTCATTGCAAAATATTCCAGAAAATATTTTCTCAGTGGGGAAGAATCTTTCCAAAGAGCCTTTTGATTTTCCTGCTCCGGTACATAATTCTGCTACTCTCTGCCTTGGGTTTGTCAAGGCTGAGCCAGGGCAGCAAGACTCGGCTCTTCAGAATGTGCTGCTGCTTTCCCCCACTGTGCCACAGACCCTAGTGCGTGTTTCCATTTGTTCATCTACGTAATAAGGAATTACTCTTAACCTAGATTTTAATTTGAGGACCGGCACAGGACAAAGGCTGTCTCTGACAAAGTAAAAAAGCTTCAAAGGTGTTTTAAGCTCCATCAGCCCAAAAGCAGAAGAGAAATCTAGTTGTGACTAGTTGGATTCCTTGAAGTATTTCTCTTTCTTTTTTTTTTCCAGTTTTTTTTGTCATGACTACGGAAGGCAAAATCTTCCCCCTGCAAACTCAGCTACATGTCAGCTTCCCTGCTTTATGTAGCTCACTTGAATTTATTATGATTAGTTTTCTAGGAGTGGGTAAGGGATGGAGAACAAGTTGGCTTCATTCTGGTCCTGACAGTGCCACTAGTTCACTGAATGACCCTCAGGTTGTTATTTCATCTCCCAGTGGCAGCATCTTTCTTGTTTGACCGTGGTAAATCTCCTCCCCACTGAGTCTCTTGCTCTGCATAGGTATTGGTATATAACATCTAGAAGGAGAGTCAACTCTTTTCAAGGCTAGAACAATAGGAATAGAATAATGGCAGAACAAAGGGAAATGGTTTTGAGGGAGGGAAGATTTAGGTTGAATACTGGGGGAAGTTCTTTATTGTGAGAATGATGAAGTGCTGGAAAAGGCTGCCCAGAGAGGTTGTGGATGCCCCGTGTTCAAGGTGTTCAAGGCCAGGTTGGAGGGGGCTCTGGGCAGCCTAGTCTAGTCTTAAATGGGGAGGTTGGTGGCCCTGCACTCAGCAGGGGGTTTGGAGCTTGATGATCTTTGAGGCTCCTTTCAACTCAAGCCATTCTATTATCCTAATTCTTAGTATTTCTAGCAGTAAAACTACTAGTGAATGCAAATTTTTGTCATTATATTACTACAGAGGGATCATTCACACCATTATCTTGCTGAGATTTCAAAATTTTGTGTGTGAATCAGTAAATAGGAGGAGTGAGGTCCTAGAAGTATTCTAGATCATCTGGAGGGAGATGTGAAGTAAGTAACCATAAATCATGCAACAATAATATCTTAATTTTTAATGCTTTTCCTTTTCCTGCTTTTGTGATGGATTTTATTCCTTCCCCTTGAAGTTCTAGCGGCAATTTGCTGTTACACGCGGCCTCCATCAAGAGAACATACTTTGTTGCTATAGCAATTCTTTCTCACTGATATTTTATTGCACTTAGATGCTGGTGGCAAAAAAAAAAAAAAAAAAAAAAAAAAAAAAAAGGCAAAAAACACCAACAAAAATCAGCATTGTTCTCCTCACAAATGGTCAGCCTCTGTGATCTCTTATTTCTGAGCAACTTTTAACTATATTCGCAGCAATCTATATTCTGGTAAACGCTTTGTGCTAGGCACCGTCTAGAAAGGTTTATCATTGCTCTCTAAGTGGCAGGCTGCACACAGCAGGACACGCTGCAGCACAGTGTCTGACATAGCAGATATAGATTACTGTTAAGATAAATTCATCCTTTTCATTTGAACCAGCTTCCAATTTGAAGACTTGATATCACCTTGTCAACCAAAGGGGATGTTATTAAGCAATGGAAGAGTTATCAAAGGTTTCCTCAAAGTTCCTTTTAAGACACTTTCTACATGAGCCAAGATATATACTTATTGGTGAATGTAGGGCTAGGCTAAAGTGCTAGGCTAAAATCCCTGTAGCTGTAAGGGATACAGAACGAAAGCTTTAAGTGTTTTTCTACTCCGCCAAAACCAAATGCCTAAACTGCCAGATAATTAGGCAAGAAAAGGTCATTAATTCTGTCTTCAGCTATCTGCAGCCAGGTTCTCTCTCCCACTCAGGACACCGGGATGCCATTGGCAGCTGCCTGGGGGCAACCATCTCGAACCTTGTTCCCCAACTCAGCCCAGGACCTGGAGGATGAGGAAGAGACCATGCTTCTGCCTGGATAACACTGACAACACTGAATCTCAGGACAGGTTTGACAGCCTGGGAGCAGGGAGATCCAGAGTTTTGAGAGGCTTTTCCTGCCTTGAAGTGTTTTTGCATTTATCACAAGAACAGCTCTCTTCTTCCACCTCTCTCAGTCCCGATGGTAGTGTCATTTCTGTGGGTAAAGCACTACCTTGAAATAGTAGGCTCCATCACAGCGAGGCACACAGCCAGCTAGCACATCCCAAGGGATGAGTGAACATAGCATAAGCAGCAGTGGGAGAGATCTTTGCTGTGCCCTTAATTGCCTCAGTGGGCAGAGCTTTATTCTTTTTTCATGGGTCCATATGTTACTCTGAGATTCATATAGGGCTGGCTGTGTCTGCTGCTTCTCCACCACTGCATTGCTGCAGGGAAACATTTCCATCAGCAGGGCTGGAAGAGCAACTCTCGCCAGGACTGGCACAGCCCCTCGCCTCCTTCTTTGTGTCTGCTTCACAGCTCCTCAAGGAGACACAAATGAAAAAAGAGCTATTTCACAGTCCAGTGAGCGTGAGACTTGGTGCAGCCTGGGGGTGAGGCACAGGGCCATGATGGGGAAGGGAGCGTGCAAGGTCAGCTGCTGCCAGACAGCAGGGATGGAGCCCCGAAGGACAGGCTTTGCTGCCTGCCCTGCGCCCTGCTCTTGCTGCACACAGCTCTGCCTCAGCAGGCTGCCTGCAGCTGCAGGCTAATGGGTTTGTGAGGGACCAGGGCCACAAGCAGTAGGTGTTCATGACAAAAGTACAAAGGGAATTTGGATGGATTTAGTGGCCTTGGAATGGAGCCCTTGGTGCTGGAGCTGCTGCTTCCATGAGGGCACCCATTGTGCTTTCAGGACTGAAGTAAGACCTACTCATTCATTGCATTTGTAAGCATCAGACAGTGAAGCAAAACAAAAACCAGGATTTGGGGTAGATCTGAATTGTGTCTGCATGCAGCCAGTCACCATTAGCCAGGCCCATCAAAGTGTCCAAATTCCACTCACCTTTTTTTCATCTGAGGTTATAAATCTTTTGTTTTGTCAACATACTTAACATATAGGGCTGAGAAGAGAATCCACAAACAATCCTCACTTGGCTTAGTTTCTGTTTATAGCATAAATAGGTGTGTGTTATGTCCTTATCACAACAAAGCCCCTATTGTTTAGGTGCTTGCAATTTTGGCCAGTGCATTGAGGCTGATATTTTGCATGCTTGGACTCAATTCATAGGCAGAGCATCTGGTTGCTGGAAGTAGAATGCACTCAGGAGTCTTCGAGTTGCTTGTGCTTCAATGCCATGTATTCCCCCCCAAAACACACGTTGTTGTTTATCTTTGTAGTAACTTAACAATGGGAGAGCTGAGTCATTTAAACTGTCTCATTTTATAAATCTTGCAAAGATTTATAAAACAAATAGAACAAAGAAAGAAAGGCTTGATTTTGAAATTAGCTATTCTAAAACAACACGTATTATTCCAGATTTTTTTTTTTCCTTGGATATATACAGAGGTGTTTGACTCAGTGATTTAAAACACCTGGGCTTTTTCAGAGAGCCTATGCATTGATTGGAAATTGCAAGAGCTATTGCTGTTACCTAGCTAGTAGCCATGCAAGTCTTAGGCAGACCTTTTCCCCAGTAAAACAGTTTTCTTTGGTGTGAAGTTCCCTGTTGGAATTTATTTATTTATTCTTTTGTCTCTAGTCAGTTTTTCTGGCATTTTCAGTTTGTCTAAGGCTGGTCATTAAAGCCTTGAGGGCAAGGTTTTTAACTAAGCTGCTGCTTGCTCAAACATTTACAGCTGGTAAAAGACTTGACTTTGTTACATTTTACTATTTGTAAGAGTGGATTGTGCTCTCAGAAGAGCTCCACTAAATAGGGAAGGCAGCAATGAAGGGTGTTCATTCTGCTCACTAGCATGTGGTGAAAGGAACAAGTGAGGACTGAGATCTGCACCACTTCTGCTCATTTGCTTTCACAAACATGTCTGCTTGCAGTGTGGTGCCCCTAGAGCGTTACCCTGTTCTTCACATAACATAAGTAAATGTAACTGCTCCTATTTTATGGAGAGACTGAAGGCCCACCTAAGATTAAAGGGGAAGAGGGGAATAAGAATCTTCACCCTCTGTGAAGAATTATTGTGATTTTTTTCAAGTAAATTCTAGTTGAAATCTGTAGGAAGTAAATATATATGTATTAAAAAGATAATAGCCATATTATGTTTATATGCTCCCCTCAAGTACTGGAAGGCCACAGTGAGGTCTCCTTGGAGCTTTCTCTTCTCCAAATCTAAACAAGCCCAACTCCCTCAACTTTTCTTTGAAAGAGAGGTGCTCCAGCCCTCTGAGCATCTTCATGGCCCTCCTCTGGCCCCATTCCAACTCAATCCAGGCCTGGATGCAGTACTTCAGGTAGGGCACCAGGAGGACAGAACAGAGGGGGAGAATCCCTTCACCCTGCTAGCCTCCCCTCTTTGGATGTAGCCCAAGATACAGCTGGCAAATTTCCATGAACTTCTTTATCATGAATTTTCATGGCAGTTTAACTAAACAAATAGTATTTGCAAAGCCAACTCAAAAGCTCTACTGTCTTCATTTCCTACATTTCTTGTAACATCATTTATGCAGCTGATTACAGATTCCTTTGCAATTATTCGTATGACTAATCAAAATCTGGGGATAATAGCGATGATAATTTTGTAGTTCAGGACACAACATCTGTAGTCAGTAGCTGCCCCAATGACTGCATCTGCAAAGATCTCTCTTTCTTCTTTAGTGCACTACTTGTAAAATGAATAATAATGATTGCCTCCCTCCAAAGGTGTTAATGTCAGTGATCTCACATGTGGCAACGAGGAGCACGCACACTGCTTAGCTGTGTTCAGGATCATGCCATCTAATGGACTTTGCTCACTGCTGCACTCCTAAAGCACCCCCTCTGCTCAAGGGCTTTCCACTCTGATGCTGTGCTAAGTGCAAAGATTTGTTGCCAGGGCTGTTTTCCCACATGTGAGTCCCGTGGCTTCGTTCACACCAAGAGAAGGCGCCATCCAAGGAATCTTTCGGCTTGCAATCTGTCATCAGCTGTCCTGTGGGAGAAGACAAAGTGTGGTCCAGTGACTCAGGTATTTAAAAATACAAGTGATGTGGTGTTTACCATCTGTTGGCTAAAAGGGACAAGTAACAGAGTTCAAAGGGATTGTATAGCTAACTAAAAGCATTAAGAAAGAGCTTCTTAATAAAACTGCAAAACAGCAACATCAAATGCCCAGCTGCTAATGGGTTTCATAGTAGGTAATGCAGAGGCGCTAAACTGATCTTAATGCCTAAGTAATTAACAGTATTTTAAAATAACTAATAGTGAGCTATGACGACTGCTGTAGCAGCTTTATTATTATATGTGTTTTTTGCTGTGTAGTCCTTTTAGTGTGAAATACCTTTAAATTTAGCTCACTGGAAGAGTTGTGAAGGAACAAAGGAGTCAGAAGATATAAAATATCCACTAGTTTACTGAACACACAGCTCCTTTTATACATGGCAGTGCATTATGAACAATGGTGTATGATCAGCTGCTTGAAGTAACTTACATGCAGCAGTTTTGCAGGCTCTGTTCTAGAAACAATAGCCATATATCTCCAAACCCTGGTGTAACTTCAATGGGAGAGGCAAGGAAAAATAATAAAGTGTTTCTTCTTATAGCATAGAAAAGCCTGATACAACAGATATGTTCAGAGTGCTTTGAAATGATGCTTGTGTAATAGGAGGCTATGAGAGAGCATACAAATGCAAACCAGGATAGTTCTCTATTCTCAACGAACAGTTTTAGCTGGACATTTAGGATGTAGCTCCTTAAATCTACATTTCTATGTTTAAGTCCTATGAAGAAGGAAAGGCAAGTGGGAAGTGCATTTTCAAGCGTGGAAAGGATATATAAAGTTAAATTGGGGCCGCTGCACTTAAACCATTGTATATTAAACTTTCAAGTGCACCAACATGATAAAATTTGGTAAACACGATGCAATAACAGGCAGCCATACAGTTACTGCAGGCTATTGTTTGTGTTGCTGGGGGGTCCTATCCTGTGCTGATGTTATGTACCACCATTTTCCATTGGAACATGAATACCTGGTGCTGCAGCACAATAGGATTGAAATGAATTACCTTTCTCAGTTCAAATGTTTTTTTTTTGTTTTGTTTTCTGGGGATTTGAAGCGCAGTTTGTCTTGCTTTAATTTTTGTGAGAGCTTTGGGGCTTTTGTCTCACCTGGCAGAGTGAGGTGTAGCAGGACTTCATTTATGATTATATACCTTATTTTTTCAGTGAATGTATTGCAAAAAGAAAAATACTGTTTTATTAAGACTTCCCATTCTGCGGGTGCAGCACACAAACTGAGGTTCCCCTGCTTTCAGGGGTTTAGACCAATTCCTGTTCCTTTTACGGGAGCTTCAAAAACTGCTTTAGGAAATTTGTGATCTGACTTCATAGAGTTACTGGATGATTCAGGTGGGAAGGGACCTCAAAGATCACTTCATTGCAACCTCCCCAGCCATAAGCAGGGTTGCCCCCCATCAGATCAGGCTGCCCAGGGCTTTACCCAACCTGGGCCGCCAACCCTCAGCTCTGGGAGCAGTGCCAGGGTCTCACTGCCCTCTGAGTAAGGAATTTCTTCCTAGTATCTAATCTGAATCTCTCCTCTCTTAATTTAAAACCATTATCCCTTATCCTATCACTATGCTCCCTGATAAAGAGGCCTTCTCCTGTAACCTGGAAGGTTAAGGTATCCCTGACGCCCTGTGTTCTCTAGGCTTTTCTGATCCTCAGAGCCAGAAATTATTTAGCTAGGTAATCATGACTTTGCATGGCTCACATGCAAGTCTGTCTTGCACTTCCTATATTTATCAAACACAAGATATTAGGAGTCTTGTGAGATTTTGTGTAGCTAAAGAAGCTTCAGTATATGTGATTTTGAAAACCACTAATACAGGACAGTAGAATCGTTGCATCCCCTCCATTTACCTATGACAGATGTCTGACCTCTCAATTTTTTTTAAAAAAAGCTACCTTCTCCATTCTTGCCAGCTGGAAACCTCCTTTTCCAGGGTTATTCAGTGCCTAGCCATTGTAACCTTCTCCAGCTCTTGGCCCAAACAATATGTAATAGTGAAATATCCCAGTGAGCATCTGGAAGTCCAAGCAAAACAAGCTTGTCTTCTTTTCATAACGTGGAATTGAGATGAACATAAAATAGATTCTAAATTGACTCTCATATCTGTTGTAGTATTATCTTCTGCAATCAACTTCTGAGAATTTCTTGTTCTAAACAAGCTTGTTAGATTTACAAATGCATCTTCAAATATAGATGATAAATCCCAGAAGCAATGCTAGCAGTACTCAGATTCCCAAAGGCAAAAATAGGGAGAGTGAGAAAAGTGAGAACGAAAATTGAGAGACACTGGAGTGATGCCTGTGAAAATTTAGTTGGCCTGAAGCTGGGGCATGTATTAGAAAATATGTGGTTTAAGCAATCAGTATTCTACTTCAGGGGATGAAATGAAACTTTTGCTCTGAAACTAATGTGTGAAAATGTTTCCTTATGTCAAATCCCACTTAGCATGTAAATTAGGGGGAAAAAAAGAAAGAGAGGAGAGGGAAATCTGCTTACAATGATTTTGTTTGACGCTTTCTACAATCACTCTTTATTGCTACCTTTGATGGAGAAGTATTGTTATATCTTTGCTGTCCCTCTCATTGAAGATTGTGGCTACACCTTTATACCTCCGTTTTTCTGTACCTGAAGACAAGAGGCAGATACAACCTTACACTCTTTCAATTAAACTCACTTTGCCTCTCCCCTCCCCAACGACTTCCCATACCTGGCAAGTCAGAGGCCAGAACTGGCAGTGATGGAGATCAGAAGTAACTGGATGCAGGCAGGTTTTTCAGTGCAGCAGTGCCACTGCTTGCCTCACACAAACCAGGCAGGGGTTCTGGGTGGGCTATGATGTCCCAGCAAGACATTTCTCCTCACATTGCCTAGCATCACCCAAAGGCTGCTTTTGGTTGCACTACTGGCCCATTTTGTCCCTCTGGAGGAAAGTAGTATAAGAGGAAAACACTTACTTGCCACCTTTATCTGCCTAAAATTTTCTCATTGCAAAACCAATGAACCCCAAAGTTTTGGGTTTTTTTTCAGATATTTTATATTTCCAGAGAGGTTACATTTTCAACAGAAACAATTCAGTTTGACTACCAGTGTTTTCAGGCACTTTTGTGAGATATCAAAGGTTTCCTTTCAGTGGAAAGTTTCCAATGGCTGTGCTCATGTTGGAGGAGATCAGTACTTGTGACCAAGCAGTCTCAGAAGAGATAAGGCAATAGAAATGAATGCTAATACAGAAAATCTGTGCCTAATTGATTTTCATGAAAGCAGAACTTGTTGCAAAGGTGCAATATATTCAAGGCGAGATTGGATCAGGCCCTGGGCAACCTGATGTACCCATGTGTGTCCCTGTTAATTGCAGGGGAATTGGACTAGATAACCTTTAAAGGTTCCTTCTAACTCTAAGGATTCTGTAATTCTAATTATTTTGTATCTTTTCCCTCCTATTTTCCTCACAACCTCCCTGAAATGAAGCTATGCGATGCATTTTGGAGATCATTATGTGCAGTTTGCAACATCTATCAAATGGACCAATGGATCAAACTCTCCAAGCCAGAGAAGGAGGGGAGAGTTACTGCCCTCACAGTATGAGGTAAGTCATCTCCTAAGAGCAGCATACTTCCATCTCTCAACTGAGCTGGAGCTACTGTTCAGCTGCCCACCCTGGCCAAGCTGTTAGAGTCCCATGTTCTCTTTTATTCAACACTGCATTCTCCAGGGAGGAACTGCTATGGTCTTCAAGGAGTGCAGGTTATTCCTCCCGCTTTCATACCTTCTGTTTAATGTTGTCTCTGTGAAAGGGTTTTGTTCATGTCTCTGAATACTTTGGGGATGTTGTGGCTTCTGTGCTCTGGGTTTTCATACTGACAGCTAGAACTTGTCACCATGGCTGAGCTATGTTCTAAGCAGTGTGCAAGCATGACAATGCCCAGAAAGCTTTCATCCAGAGCTGCCATATAAAATTTGAACAGAATGTACACTCATGGCTCAAGGAGGAATGCATGTGTGAATGAATTTAGCCAAACAATAAGGCCACAGCAGTGATGTATTTTTTCCACTTCATCAGCAAGCCAATGAATATGTAAAGTTTCTATGGCTTTCACCAAGCCATTGTTGGACCTGATATCCTGGGATGAACTTGGGATTCTCCATCCAGGAAACTTAACTTGCTGTCCTTTCTTTTCCTTGCCTATGAGTTGGCACACGCCTCTCAGACAGGCTGACTCTTGTGACTGACGAAGGGTTTCAGATGCTTTTTGACATTAGGTGTCATGCTGTGACTGGAGCTGTGCAAAATAGGTCCTGCTACAGTAGTTTGACAGATGCAGCAAATCTTGCTGTCAGTTTGCTGGGTTGTGTGCCGCATCCTTGCATATGCCTTGGCACTGAGAAGTGTCCCTTTGCTCTTGATAATCCTGTCAACAGTTTTGCAAAATGTGGGGGTTGATAATGTCAATGCTCTTATTCAGCTTCCTGGCAAACTAGGGGTTAATCTGAGGCTTTTGAGGGCAGACTGCCTTCTGAGTGGACAAGGAGAGGCTGGAGATTCACTTCTTTATCACTTAATTAAAAAAAAAAAGAGAGAGAGAGAGAGAGAGAAAAGTGAAAGGGCTCCATGAATTTCTTTGCTCCTGTATTTTGCTTTCAGTGCAAGTTCTAGGTGTTAGACTGTGTAGCAGAAATGCTGAGTCACAGCCTGAACCATTGATTGAGCACCTGATGAGAAGGCAGGGCCAACCCAGGGGAGCACAGGTGCATGCAATTATGCAAAGCAGCTGGGTGACCAGAGGGGGTGGAGCCAGGATCCACCCCTTCCCAGACCTCATTTCAGTGTTAGCAGTGGAGATGAGGGGGTCTGTTGCTGCCTGCCAGAGGCCTTCCAAGGTAAGAAACTTTTTCTTCCTTCATTTCTGTAGCTGCTGCATTTGGGTTTCTTATTTATTGTAGCCTGAGACTTTCATTGTTGTACCGCCATTGTTGTGGTACTTTCCATCCCGTTAGAGCGTTATGTGCTGTTATTAAAATAAAGGGCAAATGATTTAAGATGGTCTCACGTATCTCCCTTTCATCCTGCATTCTCCTGATGCACTGGGGTGAGCAATTGCTAACCCATCTGATTGATGTCCAGCCTGGTTAACTGCATGGCTTTTGCTAGGGCAGATGATAGCTTTATCCTAAGGGAAAATATGTGAAAACAAGCAAAGAGAAAAGTAGGGTTGTGAAGGCCCTAATTCTACCCATTATTCAAAACATCAGCAGAACTAGAGGTGCTTTTGATTGCTACCACCTGCCTGCTGGCCTGCTTGGGACACACCTGGGCCTCTTTAAATTTTTTGAGGGAAGACAAAAGAGTCTCAGCTACTATTTTCTCAGTGCAGGTATTTCTGATGGTTGCAGTTTGTTGCAAGAGCTTTCTGGTAGGTGCAAACTCAAGCTTCTCTTTTTATTTACTAAAATGCAAAGTCCTGTTCTGGCCTCCTTGGACTTGGTATCTGGCAATTAAGTTAGCCAGCTGCAAGCCCACTGCATGCTTCTGTAAGAGTTACTTTTGTAATTTGTAAATGTACTTTTAAGCTGTGGTTTCTTTGTTGTGTTTTGTCCCAAGGTGCTTATTTACATTGGAAAGACTTAATTGTGTGTCTGGAGATTATATGCTTGCTCTGGCAAATATGCAAGGCTGTAACTTTCTACTAGTCCCATGTTAGGAATTCAGGTCTGTGAGATGCCACATGCTTGTTCTAGCATTTTCTTCATGCTTTATCTGCTTTATTACACTTGTTCAGTGTCTGTACTGGACTGTTGTATAATAAAGATCATAAACTCTATAGGGAAATCATAGTCTCTTTCAAGACCATCAGCACAGAGCCTCAGGTGTGTGCCCCAAAGCCTCAGTTGAAGTTGTTGTTTTCCATTAACAGTAAGAGCAAGCCTATGCTTTCTTTGTGGGTGGGTTATTGTACTGGGTCAAGTTACAGCTTGTTAATGAGCTGTGATTACGAGGTCCTCTGCCACCTGTTGCATTACTGGGCTCCTGCTCTTGTGCCTGCACCCAATTCACCGCAGGTTACTTAAAGGATATGCCCTTCCCTATTGAGTTGTTTTAGTATGCTAGGTTTAAAAAAGTGTTGGTGTTTGGATCTTTTTACTGTTATTATGATTATCTTCTCCCCACTCCACAGAGCTTTCTGGGCTTGCTTCCTACAATGCTATAGCGGCACAGGTGCAGAAGCATAAAAATCAGAGCAGAGGTGGGCAGAAGAGCAGGAATGCCTTGAAATGTATATGGGGTGAGTGAGCTTCAGGAAGCTCCAGGAACTAGTTGGTGAGGTGCCCCAGCAAACTGCTGTTGAAGGTGATGGGGTCCATCAGTGCTGACCTCTTAAGTACCACTTCTTAAAAGTACAGGCACTTCCAAATGTCTGAAGTTTCCATGTGGATCAGAGCAGAAGATTGGCTTGGCTGAGCTGTGGTCTTTTTCTAGAGCTTAGAAGGAGAAAGGTGTGATCAGTGGAAGCAGTGTCATATGATATTGGAGGTCAGCAGTGATGCTGTTCACCATTGTAGGGAGAAAATTCACGCAGCCAAAACTCAATTAGAGTTGAAGCTGGTCAGTATTTTAGGGGACAATAAAAAGGGATTTAAAAAAAAAAAAAAGTTAATAGCAAAAGGAGGATCAGACTTAATGTTGATCTGTTATTTGTTGAGAACAGTCATCTCACAAACTGGGATGCAGATGAAGTAGAAACATTTAATGCATTCTTATCTGTCTTCCCCACCAATAATGGGCTCTGCAACCCGTGGAGCTCTGAGTTGAGGACCATGACTGTGTTAACAATGAACTCCCAGCCAATTTTGAAATTATGCATCCAACTGGAGAAGCAGATCTTGCACATAAGTCTGAGGAGCCAAATAGGATTCATCCCAGGGTACTCATAGAACGGGCTGATGTCATCACAAGACCTCTGTTAATTATTTTTCAATTGTTTTATGAATCTGGAGAGGTCCCAGTTGACCAGAAACTGACAAATATTGTCTCAGCTTCCAAGAAGGGCAAGTAAGAAGGCCCTGGTAATTACAGACCTGTCAGTCTCACTTCTTCAGTGCCTGGCAAAATTATGGAGAAATGTTATTCTGGGAGTTATTGAAAAACACTCAAAATATGATGCAGTCACTGGTCACAGCCAACATGGGTTCATGAGGGGAAAGTCCTGTTTAACAAATTTAATTTCTTTTTATGACAAGGTTTACCACCTAGCTGACCAAGGGAAGTCGCTTCATGTTTTCTTTTTTGAATTACAGCAATGCTTTTGTTACTGTTTCTTCCAGTATCCTTCTGGACAAAATGCCCAGCATAGAAAACAAAAACATTGTACAATTGGTGAACAATTGGCTGATGAGTCAGGCTCACAGAACCAAGCTTGTAGGTGCATACAGACTTGGGGATGAGAGGAGACTTAAGGAGAGCAGCCCCTTGGAAAGGGATATGGGAATCCTGGAGCAAGCTGAGCACGAGGCAGCGGTGTGTCCTGGCTGCTAGTGAAGTCACACCACACAGTGAGTGACTTATCAAGGTGAAAGCAATGTACGGTGCTGAGACTTGCAATAGCAGGAGATGCTTTTATTCTTTTGCTAGAAAACCATCCAGGCAGTCTATTAGAGTTGTAGTATTTAACTGCAGTGTGTATATCATGCTGCATTGTTTGCAGTGCAGGAATGTTGGTGGCAATAACAGTATTGCTTGATGTAAACCTAGAGGGAAAGTTCAGGAGTCCTGTTGAACACAAAGAGGTTGCATAGTTGCTCCCTACTGCTTTTTTTATTTATTTTTTTTTATGAAAGAATAACTCTCTTCTGGAATGAAATGAAGAAGATACTACTTTGGATCTGCATAATTTATTGCATAAGATATTTACCTTATTAATGAGTTCTGAGGAGAAATTAACGTTAGAATCTCTTGACTTTGTTCAAGTTCTGTATTCTGACTTTTTTGAAAAATAACTTGTGATTTTTTTATTAGCAAGTAGATCCATGCCTAAACAGCTGCTAGCATGTACTTTTGAGAGAAATGATACTTTCAACTATAAGTAAAAGTGTGTGGTTTTTTGTGTTCTTCCTCTGAATCTTGTTTGCTGCTTATTGGTAACTTGAAAGTCTCTTAGTAGAATAGTGAGGGAAGAAAAAATGGATCAGTAAAATTGGCCTTAAATTATGTTTAGAAAAAAACTATACTAGGAAAGATTGTTTTTACTTCTTACTCCTTGCTGAGAAACTTAAGCAAAATAAAACATGGATTTTGACTCCAAGATCTAGATTTCTTAAGTCCTACATCCAAAACTCCACTCCAAAGTCCTTAGTAGTAAGACATTTGCAAGTGTATTACTTTGGCTGGAAGGTGCCTCACTGGAAGCCTAGCTTATACTACAAATACTTATCAGTATGATTTTCTAGCCAACCATTCCACACTATACAAAGGTATAATAAAACAAGATTCCTTTTGTTGGGAAAACTTGGAAATGCTGTTGCAACTTGAATGTGGGATTTTTTTATTTTTTTTTTTTTCCGCCTAAGTTTACACTTACCTTTGAATAGAGA